GGCTTAGAGTACTAACCTCCAACCATGACGTCGAGTAAGCACTGTGCCTTGCCAATGTGTCGCTAAGAAGACGTATAGGGCCGAGGGAACAGGGCGTACCTAGGTACATAAGGCGACCAAAGACCAGAAAAGGAGTGATGTTGACAGGCTATCGTTTGCACACGGGCCAAGTAACCTGATTTATCCGTAATACACGGTCCTTCAATTACTGCGATTGAACGGCGGATCGTTCTTGTCACGTACCGCGCAAGTAAAAACTACTCACCACACCCAAAGTCATTGGACCATCTTCTGAACCAACAAGTAAGTAATGAAGCCTACTCTATGAAGTTCACATGCATGCGAGATCTATCTCCTAACGAGTTTAGGGCTGTTATGATCGCAATTACAGTATTGGGGTCAGCGGCCCTGGCAGCTACCGTCCTGGCTTACCCCCAAAGTTCAACGACGTGTTCACCTCCGCCAACCAATGATCTCTCATCACCATGCGAAGAAGCGGCCTCAAGACTCTATCTAGAGGACGGACCTCAGAAGAACTACCTCTATTCTGATTGTCACACCAGCGCCCATGTCATCGTTACAAGTCCCAGGTCTGATAGCAACACCAGTGTCGTCAAGCCTCGGCTTATCGTGGCATGGCCTGCTGGTAACAGTGGAGCTATGGCGTACTTCGCGCCTCAGAGCGGTCAAGGCAGTCTGAACATCAGCCTAGAGACGTCTGACAGCGGAGAAACGGTAGAGGCAGTGAGCGCGTCGGATCGTGTTGGAGTGTCAGCATCGATCAAATTCAACACTACTGCTAGATTGACGCAATCTATCCTTGGTAGTATACGGGCTATTCGCGACCAGACTGAAGGCTCAGGCGTTAGTCAAGACTTCCAGAACAATTTCGGTTTCGCGGTCAACGAAGACGGGAGCGCCTCCATCAACCGTACCTGGTTCGACGGTGTGACTACTACGACGCTGACGTTCTCACCGCTGAATGGCGCTCAAGCCATTACGCTGAATCGCGAGGCGAATTGGACTTTGACATTCGGCGAAGGTAGCTACCGCTTCGAAGCCTCTTACAACTATCCGCAACTAGAGCAGCTCAGTCCTCAAGAAGTTCTCAACGAGGCGTCTTCCGGCTTGATTGCAGAGAACCCAGACCAAACCACCTCTTTGTCATTCCTATCATATTCGAACAAGCTGCTGGCTGGCACATGGCGCTTCCTCACCTACTTCGGTCGAGACAGTATGCTCTCGCTGCTGTTGATGCAGCCCATTCTCAGCGAAGCAGCTATCGAAGCCGTCATCGGAGCTGTCCTCGAGCGAGTCAATCGTACTGATGGAACTGTGTGTCACGAGGAGGTCCTCGGCGACTACGCGATTTGGCTGAATATGAAGAAGGGAATTAACTCCAGCGCACCTGACTGTGACTACAAGATGATCGACACGGACTTTATGCTTCCAATCTCCATGAACAGCTACTTCGTGGATACAGATGCTGGAAAGAATCGTTCGGACGCTTTCTTCAGCAAGACTGCAACATTCCTCGTCGAGAACGAACGACTGACGTATTCTGAGCTGGCCCAGTTCACCGCCGAAAGGATCATGCGGATCACTGCACCGTTTGCGCATAGTCAAGTGAAAGAGAACCTCATTCATCTCAACGAAGGCGAGATAGTCGGCGAGTGGCGCGACTCTAGTAATGGCCTCGGAGGAGGTCGCATCCCGTATAACGTCAACACCGCGCTTGTACCTGCAGGACTTCGGGCTATCGCAAATCTGAGTCGTGCGGGCTTCTTCTCAGACCACCCGGAATGGTGCGAAGAGGCCGATAAGTACGCCCAGATTTGGGAGGACGAGACGTTACGCTTCTTCGAAGTCACCGTTCTGCAGGCCGACGCCAAATCTCTTGTTGAGGACTACGTCTCGAACGCCAACCTTACCCTCCCAACAAATGTCGATAAGATCACAAGCGATGTCACATACTACGGCGTTGCCCTTGACGGCGAAGTCGGTGCACCCGTTGTGCCCGTCATCAATAGCGATGACTGCTTCCGCCACTTCCTCCTCGACACCACGAATCAAACCCAGTTGACGGCATACATCAGCCAGACCGCCGATCACATTCTTCAACCCTTCCCAGTTGGCCTATCGAGCGACATTGGATTATTTGTTGCGAACCCTGCGTACGCTGGAAATGCGACCTTCGAAGCAGGTTTCTCAACGGACAACTACCACGGCACTGTAGTCTGGAGTTGGCAGCTTGCCATGATGGGCGCTGGGCTTGCGCGACAGCTTGGTCGATGCGACAAGGAGGGTGCGCCTGGTAAGTCGATATCCCGATGCATTCTCACGTTTCTCCATCATGTGATTGCTAACTCAGCATCGTAGACTTCTGCGCAGATTCCACAGTCTATGACAAGGTCTTCGCCGCATACAACAGCCTTTGGGATACAATTGACGCCAACCGCGACCAGCTAAGCCATGAGGTGTGGAGTTGGAAATACGACAACGGCTACCAGATTGAGCAGCTGGGCTCGTTGACCGCGACTGAGAGTAATATTCGCCAGCTTTGGAGTTTGACCTTCTTGGCAGTCAAGAGGGAGAGTTTTGGAAGCGCGTAGAGATGATCAAGTTGGTAAATGCAATACGATGGAATAGCCAATTATTGCGCCAGAAGCCACCCTGTCAGACATGCCTACCTAGTAGGCACAAGGCGTAGTGTCTTCAATCAAAGAACAAAGAAGGATACTGATCCTGATTACAAACAAGTTTCATCGCATCAATTCCTATCTTCGGTGCTTTGTGGCGAAATAGAGTGCATGAGATGAGTGCCCAGATAATGCCGGTCAGCGCGTGTGGCTTCGGACGAAACTCGCATTAACTCGCGATTCGCTCGCTTGAACGTCATCGCTTGGGAGCCACCGCAACATATCATCCAACCCTCGACAACACCGTGTACATCGTGTTACTTTAAGCGGAATAGCCAGTTCAACTTTCTGCGGGCAAGCTCTTCAGCCTGGGCAATGAGGCATTTTTTCTATCTACTGGGTCAAACAGTTCACAACCATTCTCTCTGTTCGGAGACGGACCAAAATCTGTCCATGAGGCAAGACGTATTCGGGCCATTATGCGATGGAGATAGGAGATGAACATGGAGATAGACGAAGAGAACCAGATGCTAAGAAGTGTTACCAGAGGCCTTCCACAGACCGTAGTATATATATAGCAAAGGAGAGCTTTCGATAACGCTCAAATCCACAGCTCATCATACAAGACTTACTTCATTGGCATCCTTTACCTTCGACTTAGCGAAGAAGCACCTTATCAAGTTCGGTCCCATTCCCCAAAAAACTACCATTCCAACAATGGCCCAATATGCCGAGCTTCACAAAATCGCGAATCTTCGTGGCGCAGGTGACGCTCGTCCTACAGCCCTCCAAGTCATTCGCGACGAGGGTCTGACCGGCAAGTTGACCGACAAAGTTTTCCTTATCACAGGAGTATCTTCCGGCTTAGGCCTTGAAACCCTTCGTGCGCTGCACACAACCGGCGCGCACGTTATCGGAACCGTGCGCAACATACCAAAAGGCCAAGCTGTCGTCGACAAGATCCTCGCAGAGAAACATGCCGAAGGCGGGAAGATTTCCCTAATCGAAATGGAACTCGACAGCTTCGCCAGCATCCGCAAAGCCGCCAAAGAGATTCTTACCAGGACCGACAGAAACCTCAACGCCATCATCGGCAACGCAGGCGTAATGGCCACACCCTACGGCAAAACCGTCGACGGCTACGAAACCCAATTCGGCACCAACCACCTCGGCCACTTCCTCCTCTTCCACCTCCTCAAAGACGCTCTCCTCTCCTCCGCATCCCCTTTGTACCCCAGCCGCTACGTCAGCCTCAGCAGCATGGCACACATCTGGTCTACCGTGCACCTCTCCGACTACAATTACGAAAAGACGGCATACGAACCGTGGAACGCCTACGGCCAATCCAAAACAGCAAACATCTGGTTCGCAAACTCCATCGAGCGGCACTACTCATCCCGCCATCTCCACGCTACGTCTGTGCATCCGGGCGGTATTATCGAGGGGTCTGGACTCGGGGTGCATGTCTCCGAAGAAACCAAACAAGCGATGTTTGGGGACCCGGAGATATTGAGGACGTTCAAGGATGTGGGGCAGGGGGCTGCGACGCAGGTTTATGCGGCGGTGGGTAAGGAGTGGAAGGACAAGGGTGGGAGGTATTTGGCTAGTCTGGCGGAGATGGGGACAAGAGAGGAGGAGGCGGGGAAGGAGGGGATGTATGAGAGTGCTAATGAGGGGTATGCGGCGTGGGCGTATGATGAGGAGGGTGAGGAGAGGTTGTGGAGGGAGAGTTTTGGGATGGTGGGGCTTGAGGAGGTGTGAGAAGGAGGGCTTGAGAGTTTTGAGACTGGTAGCGAGGTGTGCTCGAAGATGGCAATATTAAGAGGCCTACTAGATGGTCTCCTTCTTTCATGTACACACTTGATATTGTACTTACACAGGCATTAAACTCCAGGAGAAAGAAGGTGGGACATTGAGCACGAAGGAAAATTACAAGCACATTCTGACCAAAGTTTGTAATTTCCAAGAGTTGGTAAAAGCCATCCGATCTAAGACTTGAGCTTCTGGAACACAATCCCACAACGCCCAAAGACCCTACTTAGCCCCATACTCTAATACTCGATCGTCATCCCAATCGAAAGCCCGAGTATCCCTGAGTCCTGGTCGATGAAGACCCGGGATCTAGCCTACATGAAGCCCATGCTCTTTTCTCAATCGTTTTTCGAGGGACGTGGACGGTGACGTAGTGGTGAAGGGCGTTCTAGCCACGGGAGTGAAGGTGCGAGCTGAGGTTTGTTGTCGTGGAGCCTATCCGTGCACCGGTCAAGCACGGACGTTGGGGCCGACGTTGCCCCTACGTGCAGCTCTTCGCGATCCAAGACTGGTGTGTAGCCGGCAACCTCCTCGACGCGCCACCATTTACTAAAGCTCCAGACGGCCATCCATGAAAGCGTTCCATTGATCAGCAAGAAATACCTCGAAGTCCACAGCGTGTGTGCAGATCGCTTCACGCTCGAGCTGGAACTCGTCATCGCTACTGCTGAACAAAGACCTGATGCGAGTCATGTCCGCGCCCCATGACAAGAGCAAGCCAAACATCTCGAGGTCGTTACGCTCGACAGTGAGCCAGAGAGGGCTGTGGTCAGGTAGCGAAGTCGGAAGTCCGTCCGGATGAGCGCCAAGCTCGAGGAGCTTCTTCACCGGACCTGGCTTGCCAATTTCGATCGCGGTGTACAGAAGACAGCGGAGAGGCAACTTCTTGTCGGGGTAGCCTTGGTTAACATCGAGATGTCCTTGTACGAAGAGTCGTGTGAGGCCGGGGATGTTGTTGTTTTTGCAGACGCGCTTGAACGATGCGATGTGTTCGCGAACATCGGCCTCAGTCCGAAGAGTACATACCATCTCATAGATGCGACCGTCCGGATCTTCACTCGCCGTCTCAAGCCACTTCGCACGTAAGCCCGCCGGGAGTGGGTCAAAGTGTTTGTGGTAGACGTTGAGAAGTCGCAGTGTCATAGCAGAATGGCGGCGGCTCAGTGACTCCTCGATGGCTTTCTTGAAGGCCGCAGCATACTCCTCGTCAGGATGAAGGCGGTAGCGCATCTCGAAGTTCTCCAACAAGTATTCGGCGACCTCCTTATGATCACCACCTGCAGCGGCAGCGAGTGGATATCCGTAGAGGTATGACGCTTCCCAGAGCGACTGGTTGACGTGTGCGCCTGCCACGAGCTTGAAGAGGTCGAGGAGACCAAGCGCCGCTGCGACGGCAAGGTCGTGAACGGCGACGTGAGAGTGATAGTTTGTAGCCCACGGCCAGAGACGCGAGAAAACCCGGCCCGTGAACTTCTGAGTCGCAATCTCAAATGAAGACTTGCACGCGAAAGCCAACTGTTTGCTCAGTATGAGCGCAGCCTCGTACTCCTGGTCCGCGCGGATCGCATTAGAGCTACGTAGCCAGTCCACCGAGAACTTGATGATCCAAGGAAGAAAGTCGTGCTCGCCGTTGAGGTCATCCCAGGCTAGGATCGCCCGATGAGCGATATGAGCTGGAAGTAGGTTCTTGAAGAGGGCGCGGGTGTGCCTATCTAGCGGGAAGAAAGCCCTTGTTGGCTGTCCCGCTGTGCGGTCGTCGATGCTGCTCTGGAAAGTCCCTGGTAAGACGCTGTCAGTTCGGCCATTCTCATCATCCCTATAGATGCTCCGCCATGGGAGGACTTACTGCTGATTCCGCGCAACGGCCACCATAGGCTGACCCCATGGACGTCGACCCCGAAGCCCACCATGTTGTTGACCACCTCCGCGGGCAGATGAGGCATTGCCATGGTAGATGTCGCCGTCGATGTCGTTATGGAATACTGTCTATCTTCGATGGGGAGAGGGGGGTCGCGTCTGTTCAGTGTCCGCAGCTTAATTTGTTTGTGTGGGAGTTCGCCTCGTTCAGGGAAAGCGTCCGACCGCAACACGTCCAGTTATTCACTGATACCTCCTCTATCTACGAGACACTCGACCGATAGCGATGGCTCGGACCACCTTGTAACACATTACTGATAGAATTACGAGGCTAGAGGGCGTCGACGGTAATTTCAGGTCATATACGGGAAGCTCAGCCTCTACTGTCTCAGCAGGGCACCCGTGATGCGTCATACGCATTGCCCGTGATGGAGTGTATTGCGTCGACACATCACCTAGAAGCTCTTTCTGAAGAGACAGAAGGCGATTTCGAACTGTAAATATGGGCCATGAAGCCCGCGGAGAAGAAAGGACATAAGATGGGACGACGACTATGCAGTGACTTTCGACGACGCTGCGCTTAGGGGAGAAGGAACCACGAGAGCGTCGCAGTCGAACATTTTGCAGGCAATCTTTATGAAAGAACATGAAAGTCTTGTTTGGCTGCAGATACGGGTCGCAAAATCCGAAGAGCAGAGAACAGATAAAATGACCAAAGTGCAGTGACTTATGATGACATTGCGCCCTGAAGAGGTGGCACCGGAAGCAGAACAGAGAACCTGTGAGATCAAGGCACCATTTCGGTGTTCAAGGTAGTGGGCGACAGGACGAATCGAAATATCAGACTGAATAGCTGTTATACAGAGTCGTGGATGCCAGAGTTCAGGGACACGGCTTGAGTGTGTATGGTGGCAGCATGAGCACATTCGAGAAGACGAATGCTAACAGACTAAAAATACTGAGATACTGCGAAACGAGATCAGCTTGAACCAAGGGAAGATGCGAGACCAAGTAGCTGCTATACTGAGCTGTGCATGCTGGAGTCCAGATCTTGGGACGCACGATCTGCATATGCAGGTAGAATGCTTGATAGAAGAACTGAAAATGAGCTCTGAACACTTTTGAAGAAAGGCGCGATATCAGTATAAATGTAGCGCTTTGATGACTCCTGTACATAGCAGCCAGTCACCTATGTGCAAGCCGAACAGGATGCCGTAAAGCTGAGCATGTAGGACCAATGGGTCAAGTGGGCATTCAGGTCGTGATGCATAACGGCATGGCAGGCATAGAATCTTGTTACGAGTAGCTGCTTCGATGGCGGGTTATTGTGGCCGTCTGGTGTTGGATGGGATGTTGATGATAGAAGACATAGTGTTTCGCAAACCTCACGACGTCAGGCTCTAGTGACGCACGTGGCGCTAGCGTGCCGCGGCTGCAGCAACGACGTCAACCAAGGCATGGACCCTGGATCTTGCTGCAGCAGATTCTCTTTTGCTTTTGGCATTCAACGCGTCTCGCCCCGGTATTCAATAAACCCAAAGCACATCACGCGCATACACTCAGCTTGGGCCAGCACAACGACGCTATTGCCGCGAATACAGTGCACGCGACCGCGCCAGGCATCGGCCTAACACAAGACGGCCGCCTGCCGCCGAATCACCAACACCAGCTCTACGTCGCAAGTCGATTACTATACCTATCGCAATCATGGCGCCTCTCAAGATCTCCATACCAACGACGCAAGAGCAAACACCTGAAAATGGCAAAGCGTACACATCCTACACCATCAAAATCGAACACCCCTTCCCACGCGCCGCAACCACCCTACAAAAGCGCTACTCCGACTTCTCCGCCCTCGACTCCTCCCTCCGCTCAGAAGTCAGCGCCGCACCACCAGCTCCCCTCCCCCCAAAATCCTGGCTCGGCGGCTTCCTAGGCCTAGGCACCACCACATCCACGCCCGAAGCCATCGAGAAGCGACGATCCGGACTAGAAGCCTACCTGCGGGCGATAGAAAGCGCAGAAGACGGGCGCTGGCGCGTCTCCAAAGCCTACAAAAAGTTTCTGGAACTAGGAGAGAAGGATGGCGCGAACGGGAAAAAGGCAGCGGGGTTCCCGGGTAGCCAATTCGGCAAGGATAGAGTGAGGGACAGTTCAGACTGGCTGGACAAGCACTCGGAGCTTAAATCTAACTTGCAAGATGCAAGGAGGTGGTTGACGAAACGCGAACAAGCAACCGCTGCAACGGCCCAGCATGAAGCCGCGGCCAATGCAAAGAAAAGCCTCGTTCGAGCCGGTACCCTCATCTCTGCGCTTGAGGAAGGGCTGAGTCGGCTTGGTGGATCCGGCAAGAAGACATCAGACGACTGGTCCGGCGACAAACTAGGCGATGGCGAGATCCGACGAAGAAAAGACATGATCAGCGGACTGCGTAAAGAACGCGATGGCCTCGACTCCGTCCTCAACAGCATGGCCGTCAAAGCCGCAATCTCTGGTTCCGGCACCTCCTCCACACCCTCGACCTCCTCCAGCGCCGCCGTCACCGAAAGCCAAAAAGCCGGACTCTTCTCCTCCAGAAATACCTCCAATACCAAGTCCTCTAGCAGCCGTCGCGTCTTCGGCGGTCCGCCCGCTCAAGAAACAGATAAGACCCGCGAGCTGGACAATGAAGGCGTCCTACAACTACAACAACAAATCATCCAAGAGCAAGACGAGGATCTGGTTGATTTGAGCACGGTGGTGCGCAGGATGAAGGAGATGGGTGTGCAGATTAATACGGAGATTGTAGAGCAGAATGCGATGTTGGGCTTGTTTGAGGAGGATGTGGAGAGGGTGGATGGCAAGATTCGGATTGCGAAGAAGAGGGTTGATAAGATTAGGTAGGGGAGATTGGCGAGATGGGGAATGGAATGGCAGTTTGGGTTGGGTTTGCGGGTTGTAATATAGGCGTTGGAGTATGGTTCTTTTGGTGCTGGGAATTTCTGTTCTGCATGGGTTTGGGATGGCTAATTTGAGTACGATACCCTTTTTTGAATGGGAAAGCAGGTGTGCATGTGCGATACGGGTGTCGATTGCGTCTCTCTATTCATTTGATCAACGCATGAGCATACTATCCTCCTGTCTTTCGCACATTCCAAGTCAAACGATAAGAGGTCAATTCAACCATCAAAAGAGATCGATGTGTTCGCGTAAAAACAAGGTATTGTCGCTTTCACCCGTACGTCTCGCCAACGTGTGCGTCTAATCCGTACCATCACCCAACCGCATAGTACTCAAATTATCCGACCTTATCTTCAATATATGATCAACCGCCTCAATAAGATGCGGCACGAACTTCGCCGGATTTTCAGTCGCCGGGAAATGACCGAGATCCGGCATCGCCTTGTGCATCGCTCCGGGGATCTTGTCCGCCGTCTTCTGGCCCATCTCTGGGGTGTTTGACCAATCGTACTCGCCGGTCAACATGTATACGGGACAGTTCTGGGTATCGATCGAGGCTACGCGTGAACGTCCGTCCCAACCTCCAAAGTAGAAGTCGAGGTCGCCGTGGAAGATCTGGGGACGGGTTAGAGGAGGGTGGGGTGGGGTGATGGGGGTGTGCTTACGCCGTAGGCTTGCGCGCTGTATGTATGCCATATGAGCTGCTTGTTCGCATGAGGCGTGGTGGGAGACATCATCTACTGCATGTCAGCAAAGCTCTCTTACTAGTTGACCTGTTTGACGTACGCCATAGATCCATTCAGGGTTAAATAGCGACTGATTCACTACTGGAGAGCGATCATGCCATTGTCGCTCCATGTTGAGGTACTCAGAGCTACAATCGTTAGCATCGCTACTTTAACCTCAATGTCTCACATACCCTTGCAACGGAATGACACCCGCAGCGCCAACCTCCCTATGGCGAATCGCGACCGCAAGACAAACTTGACCAGCCATGCTTGCGCCGCAAATGATCGGTCTTCGCAGACCCAGGGCCTTAACGAAAGCCGTGATGATGCCCACGTAGCTATCCTCTGTGTTTGTATGCGCGCCCGGGGAGTAGTTTTTCGAAGGGAAGCTGCGTCCATGTCCTGGCAAGTCGAATGCGTACATGATGCACTTCTTGCGCATCTTCGCGTCGTTCATGACACCGTGGTATTGCCGGCTATCGCTGCCAGCGGTATGTAGAAAGACGATGGGTTGCTTTCCCTCACCAGAGTACTCGTAAAAGGTTTTGCACCTACCCCATACTGGAGCTTCGAGGTACAGGTACTTTCCAGTAAGGAAGTCGCGCTCGGGTTCGGCTTGCTCGTCCTCCTTCATCGGTCCGCAATGCGCGTCGTGGGTGAGTTCGAGGACACGCCTCCAGACATGTGTCCATTGTGCAAAGGCTGTCTGGTCGCCCAGGACTTCAATGCCTTTCTGTTTGATGTTCATGCCGAACATGCCCCAGTAGCTCTGGTACGGCATCGCCGGGACTGCCTTGAAGTGCTGTTCCCATTGCTCGGGCAGAGCAGAGAGCGTGAAAATGGCATCTTTCGAAGAGCCGGTGCTGGCTTTTGCGCTGCCGTTGTTGACTGTGACAAGCAGGGTGTTGTCAGACCCGCTTGACTTGATGCCGAAAGTCACATCTTTGTCAATGGCATTCGAAGTTGTAAAGGCTTTGAGCTGTGCATCGGATTGGAGAAGCTTGGAAAGCTTGTCCAAGCTTCCTTTGAGAGCCGCGGTAAGATCAGACCAGTCAGACATGGTGGTTTGGGGCGTGCAATGACTCGTTACAACGCGACGAATGCGAGAACTCAACAGAGGGAAGGAATTGAATCAAGAAAGGCAGAGGAGGGCATAAATGATGCGCAAGCATGCCGACGGCGCGCTCTACACATATAGCAACGCATAACCCCGGTATCGCCCAGAGCTAGCTATGGAGCTATGGTGCCAGGAGGGGTAGAAGTAATGCGGGGTGCGGCACACGTGGGCGCATGTCTCGACTGTCGCTCGTCATGGTTCCGGTGAGCTCGCTGTTGACCCAGACCAGATTTGGGCGGCTAGCTGATGATGCATGCTATGAGGAGACGCGGGGAGTGTTGATCAAGCAAGCCGGACGCGCGCGAGA